AAAAACAAGTCACATATTTGGAGAAAATGTTTGCCACATTTAAACTAAGAAATAATTAGAGTGTAAAATATGTAAGGAACTCCTGCAATTAATAAAAGACAAACAACCTGATTTTTTTTAATGAACTTCACATGAAGGCACTTCACAGAGGAGTAAACTGTAAAGATATGAATGAGCATTTCACAGAGGAGTAAACAGAAGTGGTCAAAAACCACAAGAAAAAATATGAAAACTCACTAGCAATAAGGAAAATTCCAATTAAAATCAGTAATTATAATTTTATGCCCACAAATTGGCAAAAATTAAAAAGTCTGCAATACCAAGTGTTGGTAAGAATGTGGAGTGAGGGCCGGCCTGGTGGCGCACTGCTGCAGTGCGCCGCTTGGGAGTGCAGCGGCGCTCCCGCCAAGGGTTCGGATCCCACATACAGACCGGTTCCCGCTCACTGGCTGAGTGAGGGGCGGGCGCAGCACCGAAGGTTGCGATCCCGTTGCCGGTCCCGGTCCGGTACGGGCGCGACACTGAGGGTTGCGATCCGTTGCCGGACACGAAAAAAGACAAAAAGGAAAAAAAAATATTTTTACGGAGTGCAGCGGCGCTCCCGCCAAGGGTTCGGATCCCACATACAGACCGGTTCCCGCTCACTGGCTGAGTGAGGGGCGGGCGCAGCACCGAAGGTTGCGATCCCGTTGCCGGTCCCGGTCCGGTACGGGCGCGACACTGAGGGTTGCGATCCGTTGCCGGACACAAAAAAAGACAAAAAAAAAAAGAATGTGGAGTGAGTGGAATTTTATACACTATTGTGGAAGTGTAAATTGGTACAATTTCCTTGGAAAACAACTTAGTGTTATTTTGTAAAGTTAAATATGCATATATCCTATGATCCAGCACTTCTGCTCCTAGGTATATACTAGAAAAACTTTTCCACCTGTATATATAAATCTCTTTTCATCTACAGGTTCCTCCGTCTTTTTTCTCTTGCAATTAAAAAACAAATTAACTAGGATATTTGTCCTACAGATTCCTAGTCTCTCTTGACCCACTCCAGTCAGGCTTTCATTTTCACAACTCCACCATAAATGCTCTTGTCAAGATCATCAGTAACCCTCATGTTACTAAATCAGTCAGTTCTCAATCCTCATCTTACTTAAGCCGTCATCAGTTGATCACCCTCTCCTCCCAAAAGCACTTTCTTTACTTGGCTTCTAAGACATCACACTCCTGGTTTTTCTCCCATCTCACTGGCCACTCCTCCTTAGCCTCCTGTGCTGGCTCCTCCTCTTCTTGTCTCCTCTGGGGCATTCTTATCCATCTACACTTAGAGATCTCCTACAGTTCCATAGCTTTAAATTCCTTTGTTATCAGTCAGGATAGGCTAAATTATGCTGAGGTTACCAACAACCGCAAAATCTCAGTAGCTTGTAAAAAACAAAGCTTTATATCACTCATGCTTCTTGTCCATTGTGGATTGGCTGCATCTCTGCTCTATGTCATCATTCCAGGACCCAGGCTGAAAGAGCAGCCCTTCCCTGGGACATTGCCAGTCTCATTCTTAGTAGAGAGTGAAGAGAAAAAGTGGTGATCATTTAATGGCTCTTAGTTCTGCTTGGGAGTGGCATGTGTCAATTCTCCTCACATTGCAGAGGGCAAATCACATGGCTAACCTCAAGGGCAGTGAGAAAGGAATGTATAATCCTTCCATAAGGAGGAGCAGAAAATATTTTTGAACAATAATAAAATTTACCGTGCCATCTGTATGCTATCAAACTCAACATGTCTAAAGCGGATCTCCTGATCCCCCACCCCCACCCTACCCCATACTTCTTAACCTCACACAGACTATTCAGATGATAGCAACTCCATCTGTCTGACTGCTCAGACCCAAATCATTGAAGTCATTCTTGATACCTCTCTCACACTGCACATCCAATCCATCAGGAAGTCCAGTTGGCTCTGCCTTCAAAATACATCCAGAATCTGACCACCTCTGATGCTACAGGTTGAGCAAGCATCCCTAATCTGAAAATCCGTGATCCGAAAAGCTCCAAAATCTGAAGCTTTTTGAGCACCAATATGATCCACAAGTGGAAAATTCCTCAGCTGACCTTATGTGATGGATCATAGTCAAAACGCAGGTGCACAACACAGTTTATGTGTGAATAAGTGTAAGAAAATGATTGCTTATCAGTAGTTTATAAATTCAGAGTCGGGAGTGATGATGATGCCAAACAACCACAGATTGTCCATGTGGGTGGCTGAGACAGTGACACCTTTGCTTTCTGATGGTTCAGCGTATACAAACTTTGTTTCATGCACAAAATTATTTAAAATATTGTATAAAATTAACTTCAAGCTATGTGTATAGGGTATATATGAAATAAGTGAATTTCGTGTTTAGACTTGGGTCCCATCCCCAAGACATCTCATAATGTATGTGCAAATATTCCAAAAATCCAAAATCTGAAACACTTCTGGTCCCAAGCATTTCAGATAAGGGAGGCTCAACCTGTACTAACCCAGTGTGAGTCACCATCATCTCTTGCCTGGACAACTGCAGTAGCCTCTCCTGACTGGTCTCTTTGCTTCTAGCCTTGCCTTCCCTCCCCTAGTCTTTTCTTAACACAGCAGCCAGAAGAGCGATCCCTTAAAAATCAAAGTCAAAACACATGACTTCACTGCTCAGAACCCTACAGTGGCTGCCCATTTCTCTCAGAGTTAAAGCCAAAGCCTTTACAGTGGCCCACAAGCTCCTGCATGATCTGGCCCCCCATTATCTCTCTAACTTCATTTCCTACCTCTCTCTCCCTTTCTCCTTCACTTATTCCAGCCACACTTGCCTCCTTGCTGTTCCCTTGAACACGTGCCTCTCATGCTTCCACCTTAAGTCCTTTGTGCTTGCCGTTCCCTCTGCCTGGATTGCTCTCTTCCCAGAAACCTGCATGGGCAATTTCCTCACCTTCTTCAAGTATTTGCTCAAATATTACCTTCTCAGCTATGCCTCCCCTAACTGCCATATTTAAAATTGCAACACTCCCCTATTTCCATGGCACTTCCAATTCCCCATATCCTGCTCTGTATTTTTCCCATAGCACTTATCTTACAAACTAATGCACATATTATGTTTTACTTTTTAAAAAATTATTTATTTATTTATTTATTTATTTTGGCAGCTGGCCAGTATGGGGATCTGAACCTGTGACCTTAGTGTTACCAGCACCATGCTCTCCCAAGTGAACAAGCCAGCCCCCTGTTTTACTCTTTATTGTCTATCTGCCCCCACTAAAAAGTAACCTCCATAAGGACTTGGATTTTTGTTGGTTTTCTTTCTTGACTTTTGTTTCTTCACAGTCTCCCAGATGCTTAAAGGAATGTCTGACCATTAGTAGGCACTTCACAAATATTTGTTAAATGATGGAATGAACATTGAGTGAAAAAAGCAAGATCCAGAATAATACATAAAGCATGATATTTTATAAAGGACAAAAACAAGAAAAATTTTAAAAATATTATTCAGGGATTCATACATACACAGTATCTCAAATATTAGTGAAGGAATGGTAACATTTTTGATAGTGTGTGAGGTGCTTTTAGAGTGAGGATGAGAGAGGAGATAATGTTCTGCTTCTTAAGTTGGGGAGTTGGTTCATAGGTCTCTATTTTATCATAACTTACATATGTGTTTGGGTCATATATATATTCTCTTGTATGTATCAACTATTTCACAGTTACAAAATGGTTTTTTAAAAAAAGACCGGAAGTAGCTATAGGAGGAGTTGAGGAATGATGCTTCAGACAAAGGAACACTAGGTACAAAGGCCCTGAGGTGGGAACAGTTGTGTTGGAGGCCTTGATAGGAGGCCAGTGTGCCTGGGGCACTGTAAGCAAGGGAGACAGGGGTATGAGATAAACTGGAGAGGTGTGCAGGAACCGGATATTGAAAGCCCATGATAAGGAGCTTGGATCTGATTCTAAGTGCAGTGGGAAGCCAGTGGAGGATTTTAAGCAGGTGAGAGACATGATCATATTTATCTTTGCAGAAATGCTTTTGGCTGTGGCTTCAGCTGGCTCACATGCCAAAAGTGGGCGTCCCAAAATATGAAGGAACACAAAAAATATGAAGGAACACAAGCAAACTTAAGCCCTCTAGCCTTTCATTTGAGTAGAAAACAAGAAGTAATAATAATAATAATCAAAGAAAAGTAATTAAAATAAATATGGGGAAATTTATTTCAGAAAATAAAACTTCTGGTTTCTGTGTGATGAGTGGGCTGTAGGAGACAACAGAGGAAGGCGACAATGGTGACTTGAACAAGGGTTATTTTGAAAGAAGAGGGAGTGAGGGAAATGAAGGATTAAAGGATACCTTCTGAGTATTTGGCAACTTGGTGAATGGTGGTGCCATTTACTGAAATGAGGAAAACTGAGTAGAACATAATGGAAGAGGGGGAATGTTGTAAATGTGTTTGAGGCTTAGGAAGGTGAACAGGGGTCAGATCATAAGGAACCTTATAGATCTGACAAAGGAGGTTGGACTTTATCTTTTTTTTTGGCAGCTGGCCAGTAAGGGGATCTGAACCCTGGATCTTGGCATTATCAGCATCATGCTCTAACTGACTAAGCTAACCAGCTAGCCTCCTTGGACCTTATCTTGTAAGCACCATGGAGCCATTTGTTTTAAAGCTCAGCTGAGGAGTGCCATGGTCAGATGTGCTTTCAGAAAGGTCACTCTGGTAGCCAGTGCAGAGAAGGAAGTAGAGAGTAACACTGGAGCAAGGGAGGCCAGTGAGGCACCTAGGAATACTGCCTGACACCAAATTGTGAGGCCTGAATTAGAGTGGTGACAGCAGAGATGGAGGATACAGATATGAAATAAATCAGGAAGTAAAATCAGTAGGAATCAATAACTGGTGAGATTTTGTGGGGAGAAAAGAATGGGAGTGGTAGTGAGTCTAGGATGGTGGACAGCACTGATTGGCCATTCCACTTCCCCCTTGCTCCAGATGTATAAAGTAGATCTGTCATCAGATCCCAAGGAGGTGGCAGCCATCGAGGCTAGAAGAAATCGAGAAAAGGAGCGACAGAGCCGATTTTTCAATGTGCGGAACCGAGTCATGGGGGTAAGTTGGCAGGGGGGGTATTGCTCAGGACCAAGGCCGCTTCACTCTTATACCTGGAGAGAGCATAACAGTGCCTGTTATAGTCCTTCTTCCGATTCAAGCAGGCTCTAGGTTTGGAAAGGAAGGAGATGGGGAGAAGGCACCCACCCCCACAGGCCCAGAAAGGGCTTGGGAAGAAGGATACAGTGGTACAGGGGAAGAGAGTGGAGTGAGGTGGCAACTGACTCTTCTCTGGTCAGCTCTGGGCTAGGTGGCCTGGTTCTCAAGAGACAGGCAATATGGAGCCAAAAGACACCTAAAGAATATTTGGTATTGCATATGCTTAAACTGTCTCTGCAAGGCTACATAAGAAACTGTTAACCAGGCTGAGGGACAGAGATGGAAGGGACACTTACTCTTCACTAAAACGTATTCCCTTTTGTACTATTTTGAAATGTTTTAAATAAATTATAATCAAAATAAAGAGATAATATTGATAGTTTAAGAAACAACAATAACAAAAAGATTGCTGGGTGGGTAGAGAGGGGATGCAGCATGGTATTCTGGAAGACACCATACCCCTGTTCAAGGCCAGGTCTGCTATTTGTTAGATGTGTGTCTTTGGATAAATCACCTGAGCTCCAGGTTCCTCCTCTCTAAAATGAGGCTGAATAAAAGAAACCAGAGTGTAGTGTCTGACACAGGTAAGGAGGTGGCTGAGGTATGAACAGTCTGATTAAGATCCAGTTGGCAAACGTTTCCTCGGGGCCTGCTCTGTGCCAAGCACTGTGTTGGGCAGTGGGGATACAAAGATGACTAAGGCCCAGTCTCTGCCCTGACAGGGCTCACAGTCTGGTGGTGGAGATAATAGAGTGAGGTGAACTTCAGTGTGATGTAGACGATGGGTCCTAGATTCTATGGGAATAGAACCTGCCTGAGGGGTCAGGAAGGTTAAGCCTGAGCTGGTCTTGAAGGATTAGTTGGAGTTTGGGTAAAGAGGGGAGGAAAGAGTGTTCCAAGTAGAGAGAGCATCTTGAGCAAAGGCTATAGGTTCGAAGCAGCCTAAGATGTGCAGGGAACTGTAAGTGCAGCACCTATGGCTAGTATGAAGGTAGGACAGGGGAAGAAGACACTAAGAGATGAGGCTGGAGAAGGAGGTAGAGTCTAGGCCATGGAGGGGCTTACAAGCCATGCTCAGGGGTTGGAACTTTATCTAGTAGGTGCTGGGAAGCTATAGGATTTTGAAGTGGGTAAATTCTAAGCAGTTCATGTTAGAGTGTTCAAGGCCCTCTGCTGGGTCCCTACCCTGATTTAGCTCCTTTCTTTGGGATCAGATGGATGTTGAAGCCCTGAACAACCAGGTGGAAGAGCGAAAGCTTCGGGAGGCAACAGAGCAGAGCAAGGAGGCAGCTTATGGTAAAAGCCCAAGGCAAGGGGTCAGACAAGGGGATAAAGCTAGAACGTGAGTGGGCTGAGGTAGAGCTACTTCTGAGTGGGACCTGAGGCCCTGGGGTGGTGGGACAAACCAGATGGGCTTTGGGAACAGAGGCCATGCCAAATGGGTTGTCCCTCCTTTGGTACCTTCTCCATGTCCCGGCCCACCACCCTCAGGTACCAACCAGGTGCGATATGATCTGGTAGTCCAGATGCTAGAGAAGGAAGAGGCAGAACGGACTCATCGACTAGCCAAGAAAGTTCAGCAGTTTCGGGAGCAGAAGCAGCAGCTCAAGAACAGGCATGAATTTGACCGTTGGGATCCAGACCAACTCTGGAAGGAGTTTCCAGCCCATCTCAGTGACAGTGATCCCTACTATGGCCCAGCCAGCCTGCAGTACTTCTCTGGGGAAGACCCAGGTAGGGCCAGGTGCCTGAAAATGCAGCAGGAGCAGTCCAGGTACTGCCTGGAGAGACAGCTGCAGGAGCAACAACAAGCTAAGGTTGATGAGACATGTGCAGGTAAGCAGCCCGGCAGTCCAGACTCAGAGACCTGAGGCCCAGTGGGGAGCGGTCCTGAGCTGGGAACAGTAGCCAGAAGACCAGAACTGTGTGGGGAGGTCCAGTTACCCATGGGGCTGATGCTGAAAGGCTAGGCTGTGTAGACCCCAACCTCCCTGACTTTCTTCAGTGACTGACAGTGTAGCCGTTGTTCCCTATTAGCCTGGCACTCTGTTACCTGGAGGCAGCACAGTACAGACAGACCAGACAGCTCTGCCGCTTACTAGCTGGGTTGGGCAAATGAATTGTCCTCTTTGTGCTAATTCTGGCTTTATGTTGTGCCTTAGCTGCCATAACTCAGCGTAGGCTGTTCCAAGTAGCCATGCAGCTTCCTTAATGCTTTGTTGCTTAGAAATTTCTTCCGCCAGATACTCTGGTTCACAATTCCTAAGTTCCAACTTCCACAAATTCCTAGGGCATGGACACAGTGTGGCCAAATTCCTAGCCAGTTCACAGCAAGGGTGATCTGCGCACCAGTTTCTGATAAACTCCTTCTTATTTCTGTCTGAGACCTCCTTAGAAGGGTCTTTACAGTCCATATTTCTATCAGCATTCTGCTTGCCACCATGTAACCAGTCTCTAAGTCATTCCAAACTTTCCCTCATCTCTTTGTATTCTGAGTCCTCCAAACTCCTCCAACCTCTCCTCAACGCCCGGTTCCAAAGCTGCTTCCACATTTTCAGGTACTTGTTATAAGCAACAGCCCACTTCTCTGGTACCAATTTTCTAGTACATAAAACTTAGGGACACAATTCAAGCTTCAGTGAGTTTTGGGGGGACATAATTGAATCTACTACAGTGCATCAGTTTCTTCATCTTTAAAATGGAGAGAAAAAGGGCTGGCCAGTTAGCTCAGTTGGTTAGAGCATGGTGTTCATAACACCAAGGTCCAGGACTTGATCCATGTACTGGCCAGCCACACACAAAAAGAGAAAAAATGGGGATAATAATCTATACCACACAGCTACTATTATCAGGATATTTTCTGTGGCCACGTCCTTATCTTCACCCTAGAGGGAGGATCTACTTGCTCTGAAGGATCCCTGCCCTTCAAGGACAAGGATCATGTCATTATCTACTTGCTCTGTTCACCTTTCAAAATCACCTGTTACAGCACCTTGTACTGTAGGACCACACATCATAGTTTTAACTAATTGTGAACGAATTTAATGTCTGTCTTCTCTCCAAAATGTTAGCTCACCAAAGATGAATGACCATCTCTCTCATATCCACCCCTTTTCCCAATTTCCTAGTACAGTGTCTGCCAGGTCCTAGGAACAGCAAGATCAATGTGGCTGGAATAGAAAAAGTCAGTACCTTTGCTTGTGCTGTGCCTTCTGCCTGGAATGCCCTTTGCTTTTTTGCCTTTTTACAAAATGTATTTCAAGGACCACTTCCTCCTGGAAGCCCTCCTCTCACTCACCACCACCCAAAGCCCTTATAATGCCCTGTACACATCTCTGCCATTGCCCTTACCAGATTGTGGTCTGGTGATCCATGTTTGATCTGTCTCCCTCACTAGACAGGGAGTTCTCTGAGGATAGAATCTAATTCCGTGGTGTCCTGAGAGCCCAACACATGGCACTTAGAATGAGACTCAGAGAGATGAAATGGTTTACTCAAGACCATACAGCTCAGAAGCGGCAGAGCTGGCATTGGGACCCAGGTCCATTGGAGGCATTTTTCAGTTAGGCACTTGAGAAATCCTTGTTGCTGCACTTAGGCTATCCCTAGTCCCAAAGAGTAGCTCCTTCTACATCCCTACAACTCGGACACTACCCCACTCCCAAACGTGTACACACATACACAAAGCTTGTTGAACAAATGGCTGAATGAGTAAACCAGGAATGGAGCAGGCCAGTACTGTGCTCCAGCCATATTTTTCTGTGTAGATACGCTCAGGGACCAGCTGCGCCTAGCCATAGATATGCGGGCCACCCAGCTGGCCAGGCTGGAGGAGTCCTGTCGCGTGGCCATGAGGGTTGCCATGGCCAATGTCAACAAAGCCCAGGTATGGTCTGAGCTATCCAGTGTACTGGACTCTCCCCAACCCCCTGAACAAAGTCCTAAGGAACCTTAGCCACATCCTTCCCCTCACACCCCCTCTCAAATCAGCACTGGCCCTTTCATCTACCTGAGGACTCCCTCTTCACCTAAAGTCCCTCTGAGGACACAAGTCACCTCTCCTCACCTTCAGATGCAAGATGACTTGAGAACAGAACATTGCCCTCTCATCCCCAGCCTCTCAATCTAAGGGCTTCCTGAAGAGAGAGAAGTTCCCAGCCCATTCCGCCCCTCCCCCCATCTTAAGTGTCATTAAAAGGCCATGCAGTATCTGTTCCTTCTCTCCCTGAGAAGAGGAATAGGGCCATGTTCCCCCCTTCCCTATGAATAAGAGCTTCTTGAGGTTGGGCACCCAAATGCTTACATCTGGGCCCCCTCCCCAGGCAGCTAAGCTGGCTGAACGGCAGCACCGTGAGCATCAGCACAAACAAGAGGCCAACCTTGTGGAGATCCAGAACCAAATCACAAGTGACCTACTGACTGAGAACCCCCAGGTCGCCCAACACCCTACGGCTCCCCACCGGGTTCTGCCCCATTGCTGGAAGGGCATGACTCCAGTGCAACGAGCTGCCATCAGGAAAGCCCAGGAGGCACAGTGCTGTGAGAAGAAGGCACAGCTCCAGGCTGAACAAGCATTGGATACCGAATGGGAAAACCAGACCATCTGCTCAGCCCAGGCAGCTCTGGAGCTAGAAGAGCAGGAGAGGGAATTGTGTGCTGAATTTCAGAGGGGGCTGGGCTCTTTCAACCACCTGCTGGCTGAGGAGCAAAAATCCCAGTGAGTTCCCGGGGGTGGCAGTGGGGATGAATGCCAAGGGAGGGTGGGGAGGGATGGCGAGGACAAGGGACAGAGGAAAAGCACATCATCTGAGGCCTCTGGACTTCTTTCACAGGCAGAATTATCTGAATTCAATGATCTACACCAATGAGCCTACAACCCAATATTACCTACAGTTCAATACCAGCAGCCGCTGAGCTGAGGATGGTCGTCTCTCCCTTCTTCCCCATCAAGCTTACAGATGGCTAGGAGTCAAAGAGAAAAATGCCACATACCCCCACTTCTAATCCATTTCCCAATGGGAGAGAGCTGAGCAAGTACCTCCACCTTCTACCCTAGGTAATAAAGTTATTCACTAAAATCAAGGCCATGTGTTAGAACACAAAAAGTGTGCAATACTGCCTTTCCCACCCCACCCCTGGGCTCTGAGCATCCAACTCTGTCAGAGCCTTCGCCTGTCTTCCCCATGCCAGTTCCCCCAGCACACGGCACTGCTCACACCCTGTGAGAAATAGAGACTTTATTAGGCACAGAGAGTGTTTGGTGGGCAGAGTTACAAAATGGCTACTGGACTTCCTCCTAAGCTGGGGAGTAGTATCCGAGGGGAAGGAGGAGCAGAGGAGCATGTTTTCTTTGCCTTCTCCTTCAAGGCTGCATGCGGATGGCCCCATCCAGTCGGATGACCTCTCCATTGAGGAATGGGTTCTCAATGATGGCCTGTACCAGATGAGCATACTCAGCAGGGTCGCCCAGTCGGCTGGGGAAGGGCACCTGGCTGGCCAAGAAATTGCGCACCTTCTCTGGGAGACTGGTCAGCAGTGGTGTGCCAAATAGGCCTAGATGAGACAGGAAGAGTAATGAGACCCACCCTTGCTTTCATATTTACCCAGCCCTTCCTCACCTTAGTCCTACTTCTTGGTGTTTCCCCAGGGCCCACGGATAGAAGGCTGCTGTTGTTTAGGTGGTAGATACCTTTCCCTCTCAATTGTCTACAGATCCTACCCAATCCCAAGTGTGGCAGGGACAGAGGATATGTCTACCTGGAGCAATGGTCATCACCCGGATGCCTATAGGAGCCAGATCCCGAGCAATAGGCAGTGTCATGCCCACTATGCCCCCCTTGGAAGCAGAGTATGCAGCTTGTCCAACCTGGAAAAGGAGTGGAGGTTATAGGTGGGAGGGCCCCGACAAGTCACTGAGGAGGCACAGGCCTTGCCCCTGCCCACATACCTGGCCCTCAAAGGCAGCCACACTGGCAGTGTTGATGATGACCCCACGTTGGCCTCCCTGGTCTGGTTCATTCTGGCCCATCTCACCAGCCACCAGGCGGATCACGTTGAAGGTACCTATGAGATTCACCTGGAGAACGGAGACATGGTGTAGGACCTGAGGCAGAGGCAGTCTTTTGTCCTCTCAAAGCTTTGGGGGCACCCACAGCCAGACACCTCTTACTCCTACCCTTGGAGAACCTCCAAGGCCTTACATTGAGAACTCGCTGGAAGTCCTCCAAGGTATGGGTCTGGCTCTTCTTTAAGTTGTATGTCTTGATGGCCACTGCAATGCCTGCACAATTGACAGCCACATCCACGCGGCCAAACTTTTCTTTTGCTAGAGTTAGGGCTGCTTGCACGTCCTTCTCAGAGGTCACCTTTAAAGGGAGAAGTGGAGAAGATATTCATCTCCTAACACACACGCTCAGCACTAAACCGGGGGTGGGGGTGGGGGGCAGGCCCAGTCCTTGGGTGAGAACAGAATTGCATGAGCAAGGGACAGGCCAAGAGAAAGGGTTGTGGTAAAACTTAAAAAGAAGGAAGAGTAGGGCAAAGGTGGAAATGTTAGGTACTATAGAGCAGTGTTGCAAAACATTTTTCAAATCTATACCCTCTTTTGATACATTCATATACCCCTGGAGATTTTCAGTTGATGTGGATCAGAGCACTAACACAATCCTGTTTTGAGAATTATTGATAGGAAGATAAACTAGCTTTTTTGTGTCTTTACCTGCTAAGATGATTTCATCAAGCTTTACTTTCTGTAGTTTGTTTCATGAAAACAAGTTTTCGACTTTGTAAATATCAAGTTACAGGGCACGATATGCATTTGCAAACTATGCATACCCCCTCCAGGAGCTTCTGATATGTCCAATCCCCATCTCCATTGTTGGGATCCCAGCTTTGGAGAGTACTTATCGCAGGTGCTCCCAGTGCTTGAAGGCTGAGGCCAAAAGGGACAACGAGATGGGTCTACCGCCCCCACAGACGACACCCTTATGGGAGGGACCCACACGGGTTCCCAGGCTGGTGTTGGTGACTTCATGTACACCCTGTGAGAGGAGAGGCGACGCCACTTACGTCGGCAGGGGCGAAGGCACAGGTCTTTCCTAAGTTCTTGGCCTGGGCCTCCCCACCCGAGTTGGGCAGGTCCAGAAGCACAGCAGCGGCCCCCTGCCCCACCAATCGCTCCGCGGTGGCCAGGCCCAGGCCTGAGGCTCCTCCGGTTATTACCGCGACCAGGCCCTGTGAAAAGGTACATGATCAATGCTACACCGTCCAGCCCACCCCTATCCTTTCACTTGCCTGTCCTCCAGTCTTCTGCGGAGAAGGGGGAGGGGGCTCCTGATCACCCTTGCGGCGTGACTCAGGTGTGCTTCCTCTCCTCACCGATGGGACCTCTCGGGGGGGGGGGGGGGCACATCCCCACACAGCCTGTCCTGTCACCTCACCTCACGTACATACGCTGCTTAGTGTTTTCTTTCACGTCCCGAGCCCAACCGCCGCAATACCAGGCCTAGATAAGCATGACCCTTTCTCCTAGCACCGATCTCTTTCCCCTAGTTCCATGGCCGCGCCGTCCCACCCCCTGCAGCTGGGCAAGCAGCATACAGCAGTCTACCTTCACGTTTCGACACGCCGCAGCCATCTTGCGCCGGCTTCTCCACTTGACAGCCTCTCAGGCGCTCGTTGATTGGTCAAGGAGGACCGCGGGGCGGGGCCTATGGGGCGGAAGGTCCGCCGCGCGGGTCGTAGGGGCGTGGCCTGCTGCTGCAGTCTCTTGGGCAAGAGGGCGAAGTCCTGACAGGTGTTCCTAGAAAGTTACTTCATCTCGGGGAAAGAGCCCAATAGCAGCAGCGCAATACCACCACACCCTCCGCCTTACTTTCTAGCTGGCTTTTTGGGGTGGAGATGGAGAGTGAGTCCCTTTCTCCTCAGAAAAAGCTTTCATTCAAGTATAAATATATCTGAGACTCCTGTATACCAGATTTCTGTGCGGGGCACTGGGGATACCTAGAGGAATAATGAAAGGTTCATGCCTTCCAGGAGGGCACAGTTCGGTTGGAGAAAGATCATTACATACAGACAGAATCAGACAAGGAAGGGACAGAGAACCAGATTCTGGAACACACAGACAAGGAGATCCGAAGATAAGAGATTCTGGGATATAGAGAGAAATACATTGAAGCAGAGATAGAGAGGAACAGAGATGCCAGATCGGATCGCAGAGATAGGGATGTGGAGAGCCACTAAGAGACATAGATGCTAGGAGACAATCTGAGACAGAGCTGCTGAGAAGCAAGCACAAACCCAGAGAGGAAAAAACATCTTTCATCAGTTTAGCCTTTGCTACACTCCTCTATCTGCATCTAGTCTTCGTATTTTAAGTCCAAAAGCCCAGATCAGACAACGTACATTGGACCTCAACCAGAGACTATTATTTAAGACCCAGGTCTTTTGTTACCCTAGAATATCTTTTTTTTTTTTTTTTCCTTTTTGTCTTTTTTCGTGACCGGCAACGGATCGCAACCCTCAGTGTTGGCCCCGTACCGGACCGAGACCGGCAACGGGATCGCAACCCTCGGTGTTGCACCCACACCTCGCTCAGCCAGTGAGCGGGAACCGGTCTGTATGTGGGATCTGAACCCTCGGCGGGAGCGCCGCCACACTCCCAAGGGGCGCACTGTAGCAGTGCGCCACCGGGCCGGCCCCTACCCTAGAATATCTTTTAGCCAGCATCCCGATTAGAATCTGGAGCCCAGTTATCTAATCTGTCTTCCTTCTATACTTTTCCCCAAAACAAGGTCTTCAGGTCATAAAACTTAGCCTACATTTTCAGCCTCATAAGTGCTTTATATTTTCTCTATCTGAAGTATCTCCTCACCTGACTTCTCACCCAGGAAGACTTCCCTCTGGGCAGTCTTCCCTAGTTGTTGACAACTGCCACACATTCATGGTCACTAAATTCATATTCATCAAAGGATTTAGCACCAGACTAATCTTCCTGTATACATAAAGTGCTCCCATCAAGTTATAGCACTCTTCACCCAGCCAAATATGCTCCAGCCACAGTGGTCTCCTTTGTGTTCATCTTTGCATTAGCTGTTCCCTCTGCTTGGAATGTTCTCCCCTCGATCTTTGCATGTCTGCTTTTTCTTTTTCTTTTTCTTTCTTTCTTTCTTTTTTTTTTCCTTTTTGTCTTTTTTCATGACCGGCATCGGATTGCAACCCTCAGTGTTGCGCCCGTACTGGACCAGGACCGGCAACGGGATTGCAACCCTCGGTGTTGCTCCCGCACCTTGCTCAACCAGTGAGCAGCCGGTTTGTAGGTGGGATCCGAACCCTCGGCGGGAGCGCCGCCGCGCTTCACAAGCGGCGCACTGTAGCAGTGCGCCACCGGGCCGGCCCTTTTTTTTTTTTTTTTTTGATCATTCAGAACTAAGCTTAAATGTTGCCTCCCCAGAGGGGTCCTCCTTGACCATTCTAGCTGGAGCCACCTAGTCACTATCCCATTGCATATTTGAATTCTCTGCATAGCATTTTCAGGTCCATAATCCTTTTTCCAACCTTGGGGCAAGATGTGTTTTGGAATTCAGAATTTTTTCAGTTTTAGAAAGGAAGGCATATACGCTATACTACATAACTCTTTATATTACGTATACTCTATGCTACCTAACTACTGAGAAAGGTCTGGAGCATCATAATTAAACATTAATATTTCTAAAGTGAAAGGTATGAAAATTCACAGTAAGTGTGAATAAAGACTATAAATAGCCCCACGCTACTTCAGGCCAGGTTTTCTCACCTAATGAGTCTGGACTCCAAGTATGAAAAAACAATTTTATGTTTTTCGGAACTTTTGGCATTGGGGAATTGTGCCCAAAGGCTTGTGAGCCTGTGCTCTGGTCTATCTTGGCCTCTTTTGTATAGTTCTCCCCCTGCTGGAAGGTAAGCCATACCTCACCAGGGTCTTGTCCTGTTGGTTCACCTTTTGGCTACCCAATGCCAAGAACACTGCCTGGCATGTACTAGACACTCCACACGAATGTGTCGAATGAGTGCATGAATGAACCTTGGGAGAATTTGCAGGCCCA